CTCGGCCTGCTGTGTTCATCCAGCTCTACACCTTGTTATCTTAGATTCTCCAGCATCTGCAGTTCCTACTATCTCTGAAACATGTAAGCAACCAGTTTTCTTTTGATTTAACCAATGTTCCTAATCAACCTGTTCAGAGATGTTGGGACACTCCTCTGGAGGAAGGTGAGACTTGAACCCAGATCCCTTGGTTCAGGGGTAGGGACATTACCTCTGCCTCACAGGAGGACCCCTAGCTATCAGTTTATTAGACAGAATCCTGTGCACACAGATGGTGCTGCAGATTATTAGTCTTCATTGCAGTGAGAAGGCCCCTAACAAGGTCAGCATTCATTACCCATTCCTAATGACTATCACCTTCTTGTTCCACTGCCGTCAACTTGTAAGGGACCCCCACAGTGCTGTCAAAGAGGAAGTTCCAGGATTTTGACCTAGTGACTGTGAAGGAACAGCGATTTGGTTCTCAGTCATCATGATTGTGATTTGAAGGGAAACTTGCAGTTAGTGGAGTTCCAATTCATCTTCTGACCTTGTCCTTGTTGTTGGAAGTGGTCATGGTTTTTAAAGGTGCTGTCACTTAAGGTTTGGTAATTGTTGCAGTGCATCATGTAGATGGTACACACTTCTGCCACTGTATGTCGGTGGTGGAATGAATAAGAGTTAAAGGTGATGGATAAGGTGTTCAGCAAGTGGGCTGCTTTGCCCTGGGTGTTATTAACCTATGAGTGTTGTCGGGGCTGCAGTCATCCAAGCGAGTGGAAAGTATTCCATCATACTCCTGACTTGTGCTTACTCAATATATTTTACACTTTATTGTAGTGGGGTAACTTTGTGGAATTTTTCATGTCCAGCAACGAGTGAAAATGCCCCCACCTCACCTTTGACTTTGACCCTTTACCTCGTTTCTTCATCCTTGCTCTCTCCCCGCTACTGGGAAATTCCTTGGAACATTTGGGCAGTTAGCGTCATAGAGATGTACAGCGTAGAAACAGACCTTTTGGTCCAACTCGTCCATGCTGAGCAGATATCCTAAATTAATCTAGTCCTATTTGCCAGCATTTGGCCCATATCCCTCTAAGCCCTTCTTATTCATGTACCCATCCAGATGCCTGTTAAATGTAATAATTGTACAAGTCTAGACCACTTTCTCTGGCAGCTCATTCCATATGTTTTTTAAGAGTCCATGTTGTAATTGTGGAAGCTAGCACAATTTTTCTGCTTTATGTAAATATTCACTTTGTTTCTGTATTTTTCTGTTCAACTAATGGTTGAATATTGCTCAGTTTTTTAGGTGTGATGCCAGCATACAGTGCAAAGGATGATGCCTTGGTAACAAAACTTGTCAGATTTTATCAAACTAACAGCTTGGACACCACTTCTCATCATGCAACAGTGCTCCTGTTTGACCCAAGCAATGGCATCTTAAAGGCAGTATGTATCTGCTGTGTATATTCCACTCCTGTATCTCCAGTCCATGTGTTACGACATGATTGTAGGAACACACCCCAAATCATTTTATAGGTTGTGGAAATCCATATTCTTCCCTTGGTATAGAATAATTTCTTGTTCGCTGGTATAAGGCTCTAGAGCATTAACAGTTTGCCAGACTGTTCGTCAGCTTGTGAATCTACCCAATTGTTCACACTGAGGGAAAAGTGTGAAGATTTAGGAACACCACATGCTCGTTTAGGATTTTTAGTAAAATTTAAAACTTTAAGTCTCTGACAATAATCTTCTCCTAATGCAAGGGATCCATCATCAATAGGGGAACAAGAGAGTGAAGTACCACAGGCTTAATCTTGTATGTTTGGTACCTCAAAGTTGAATCTAAAACAAATTGAACTTTCTTTATCTTGGATGCTGAGAGTGACTGGGATTAAAATAGCTGGGTGGTTGCTTTTGACCAGCACAGACATGATGGAGTGAAGGGCCTTTTTCTTTGCAGTAGATCCCTATCTCTGTGATCCTATGACTTGAGATAGTCAGGATGAATTTGGTCTTAATGGGGTATGAAGCAAGGGTTTTATTTCCACAAAAAGTGCGGATGGACAACTGGAGTGTAGATAGTGTGCACTATGTATCAACTGTTGTAGGATGATTGATTTTTCTCTGTGTCGTTTCTGAAGGTGATGGATGGAGCAGTGATCACCGAAAAGAGAACTGCTGCAGTTTCTGCGATAGCAACCAAGGTAGTAATTGTTTAATGTGTGGGCATAATCATCACATAAGAGATAGGAAGGATTTTTTTCTTCCAGTGGGAAGGACTCAGTTTCTTTTCTGATTTCCTGAAAGCACTTTGCACAGGGCTGTGAATCCATGGGGAGGCAATAATTCAACATCTTCTAATAGCTCACATAGGAGCGTGGGAACTGGCGAGGCCATTGAGCCCCTCAAGCTAGTTACACCATCCAGTGAGATCATGGATGATCTGTGATCTGAGTCCATGTACCCACCTCTGCTGCCCCACACACCTTAATACCTTTAGTCAACAAACAGCCTATCAATCTCAGAATTAAAATTAACAACTGTTCTGGTATCAGATGTCGTTTGCAAAAAAAAACTTCCAAATCTCTGCCATCTTTTGTGTGTAGATGCTTTCCTAATTTCACTCCTGAAAAATCTGGCTCTAATTCTTAGACTATGCCCCATAATCCCAGACCAGGAGAAAAAAGTTTCTATCAATCTAATCTGTTTGCATCTATTAACAATTTGAAAACATTAATCAAATCGCCCTCAACCTTCTAAATTCCAGGTAAAACAACAATTTCTGCTTATAACTTTTGGAGTCCAGATACATTTACAGCGAATTGCCATAATGAGACTTGAAGCCGTGGCCCCAAACTGTACCAGTCACTGGGGGTGCACTGATAATGTTACCTAGCAGGGTGACGAAACATTTGCAACAAAGCCCACTGGCTCGGCGAACATGTCCACAACTTGTACCAATCATTGTAGAATTATACATTCCCAACTGAAATAACTTGCAAAATTAAAATGACAGAAAATCTAAGTAAATTCAAATAAAGTAACATTCAACAGTCTCTCTTAAATGGTAACTTTTGTGGCTTCTGCCTGATTTTATTTCTCTCTTCTTCCACTGTCTCTATTTCTTATCTGCCTTTTCCACTGGATCTCTCTCTCTCTGCTTTTATCACTTTGTCTGCCATTTGATTAGGTGCTGACAAAAACTTGTAGCATGTGATTCTACAGGGAACGCTATGAATGTCCCAGGTCATTGGTGAGTGAGGGTGGGGTAGGGTTTGTAGAGAGGGATTAGCTACTAGGAGGGGGAGAGGTTGAGAAGACGAGGCAAGGGCTAGTTCTCAGCAGACCCCTTGCCCTGATGCTGGGTTCTTATGAGCAAGCAGAGTTCCTATGAATAATTCCTCACCCTGGAGTCCCACAGCCAAATCCAACAGATCCTGGATTGGCAATCCCTGCTCGCTGCTGGCTGAATATATGTTGGCACCTGCATGGTGAGGTCCTTAAGTGGACATTAATCTCCCACTTATAGGTAGTGTCCAGGTGGAAAGGCCATCCATGAGATTTTACACTCCAAACTTGATTGGGCAGAGGCAGGAATTATTTGGAGGAGTTTCCATCTTGCACTTTCCTATTTGATTACATGCTGCCCACCTCCAAATTCATAATTAGGCTGTCTGTGTTAACCTCCATCCATTGAGCTTTGAATTCTCACTCATATTTCCAAATCCCTCCATGCCTTTGCTGCTGCATATCTCTGTGACTTCCACCAGACTCAAAATCTTCCAAGATCTCAACTCTCCTCTAACTCTGACTGCCTGTGTATCTCTGAGTTTAAATGATACACTGTTGATGGCCATGCTTTTAACTTTTCAGATCCTAATCCTTAGATGCCCCTTCCTAAACTGCTCGGTCTCTCTCTTTCCCTTTAAAATGCTTTTCTAAACTCTGACCAAACTTTGATCATCCGTCCTAATATATTCTTATGTAGCTCAGTGTAAAATATTGTTCAATAATGTTTCAAATGCCTCGGGATAGTTTATATTAATGGCGCTACATAACTGCAATTTGCTATTGTTCCGTGGGGTTTAGCAGCAACAATTGTGGCTGAACTTTTTTTCTCTCTAACTCATTAGTGCTGAGGATGATTTACTTTGCTGATGGCACTGAGACAGAAATCAGTTAACGCAACAAGGACCAACAATTGATCTGGAGCTTCCTTATCTGTGTAGAGGGGAGGGACAATTCAGAAAGAAGTCCACAAGTTATTCATTTCGTTTAAGTACTTTTAACCATCAAATCTCTCAGAAAGTCTACAGAGCAGTAGGGACCAGCTCTAACTTGGAGACTGTGACAATGCTCAATCAAAATGTCAAATTGAGGTAAAACATTAAACCAAGGTCTTATCTCCCTGTTTGGTGCTAAGGATCCCATAAAAATCTCAAAGGTGAGGAAGAGAAATTCTGCCAGTGCTCTTGGTTAACCTTCACCCGGCAAACGGCATTACATGAAAATATCTAATGTCCCAAGGTGCTTGAAAAATTATTGAATGTTTCATCACACTGTTTTGTGGGATCTTGCTGTGTGCAAAATGGCTGCCATATTTCCCTGGTTAATAGTCACGTAATTTCAGAGCCTGTTTGCAGAGTGGTTCAGCCACCTAACGCAGTAAATCATTACTCTCTTAATATAATGATAGATATAGGACTAAACGCAGAGCTGAAGGACAGACCACTCAAGTTTATAATGTCAGTCCCAAAGATTGCCACATTTCATATCCTGTCTCAGACAGAGAAACACCAAAGCTGATTTGTTCAGATTCTTTGTTTAAGTCTCAGTTTTGTTGATTTTTATCTAGTATCTCAAGCCTAAGAACCTGGATGTATTATGTATCCTGGGAGCTGGGTCGGTGGCTGTCAGTCACTATGAAATCTTCACCAAAATGTTTCCGTTCAAGCAGGTACCTCCACAAATTCTGCCTCTTCTTGTCTCTGTATTTCACATGTAAAAGGCGAATGGCGAATCCCTAGACACAACAGGACAATTTAGCATGGCTAATCTGCCTAACCTGCACATCTGTGGAGTGTATAGGAAAACCAGAGCACCCAGAGGGGACTCATGCAGATACAAGGAGAATGCGCAAACTCCACACAGACAATCACCCAAGGCTGGAATCAAACCTGGGTCCCTGGCGCTGTGAGGTAGCACTGCTAACCACTGAGCCACCGTGCCAGCCCTGTTATTGGAGGATCATAAGTAAGAAGGGAAATCAGCCAAATCTGGGATTGTGTGTGATGGCCTGTTTTGGAGTGAACTGTACAGATGTTTCTCATGTGTAAAGAGACCCCAAGCTCTAATATTTTTAGATCGTAGAGTTTTGATTCCTCATCTTGCAGGATATGAAAGTGTTAATAATGACAATTTTCACCAGGTATTGGGTCACAAACCAATCATCATTCATTCTGTACAATCAAATGAACAAAGATGCAGTCTATCTTGGTTTTTTCATGTGTTTATTTTGTTGTGGGCGGGGGAAGAGGTAATTTTACTTGTTTGTTCAGGAAAGCTTTTTAATACTTTCGAATTGCACAGTACCAGCATTCAGTCATCCAAAAGCAAATATATAAAAACAACTAAGGGTCAGTAGAAGTTAAATGTACAAGAGGCCCATTATGTTCCATCATATTTGTGCCAAAGTGATCCAAAGTCAATTCCCTCTGCCCTATCAGCTCTCCATAATCCTGTATCTCCTTCTGTTTCAAAATTTCATTCAAATCACTCAAAAGTTACCACGGACTCTGCATGAGTCCTGGCCTAAGGCAAAGTGTTTTGTGACCCAACCGCCCTCTGTGTGATTTAGACTGCAATACCTCCCTCTCAGTTAATAGGCAAAATTCAAAGGCACTGCAGTGAAGTCTGTCCCTGCAATCTGTCCCTTGAGGATAATGTAAAATCCACTGACACTATTTTGAAGATCAGGGGAATTATTCTGTCTATGATGGGCCAATATTTATCCCTCAGTCAGCATCACCAAAACAGATAATCTGGTTGTTATCAGATTGCAATTTGTGGGACCACTGGATAAAATAACTTTTCTCGTTGTTATTTAACAATCATGGTTAAATCACCTCTTGACTTCATTGCTGTGGTGGTAATTTCTTCCAATATCTCAAGTCTTTATTTATCTGCAACATTTTAAATTAAAGTAACTCCTGTTTCACTGATTGGATCACAGGTAAGGGTGTGGAGCCGAACTCGAGAACGGGTTGAAAAGTTTGCGAAAACAGTTGGGGGACCAGTGACAATTTGTGCCTCAGCAAAAGAAGCTGCTCTCGATGCTGATGTGGTGATAACAGTCACCATGGCAACAGAGCCCATTCTGTTTGGAGAATGGGTAAAACCTGGAGCCCATGTTAATGGTATGTAATAAACACACTGCACTTCTGGTGTGAGAAGTTATGATATTGTCCAGTCACTGCTGTTCTTGAAATGGGCTCTGGGAATTCTAACATCTATCTGAACCACAGGTTCAGTTTAGTGGTCTCTCCAACAGTACAGCACACCTTCAGACCTGTCCCTCCAACAGTGTAGCATTCCCTTACTACTGCCTCTTCAATGATGCAGCGGTCCCTCTGTACTTCCCCTGCATCCGTCCAGCACTTGCTCAGTGACACACTGATTTTCATTAAAGGCCAGCTCTCAAATCTCTGGGTTGGAACTTGAACCCACAATCTAGTGACAGTCTATAGGGGAAGAGAAAATCTCTGAAAACAATTCCTCAATTAGATTTTCTAATGAGTGTTTGTGATACATTTAATCTTTCAGCTGTTGGAGCTTGTCGACCAGACTGGCGGGAGCTGGATGATGGACTAATGAAGAATGCTGTCTTGTATGTGGATAGCAGAGAAGGAGTCATTAGGGAGTCAGGAGATGTCATCCTTTCGGGCGTAATTGGTGTTTGATGTTATTGCACACATACATTCAAACATATGGATTAGACCATTCAGCCCTTTGGGGTTTGATCATTAGCCGATCTGAATAAAGAAGGCAGTTCACCAACACTTTCGCTCAGACAATGAGGGATACCCACATACCAGGAGTGAACAATTTAAAAAAAAGTCACCTCTCATTCTCTAAACATGAACAGATGCAGACGCAACCTAACCAATCTTATCTCATGAAGTAATCTAGACCATAAAATAAGCTTGTCCAACCTTTCAGTAATTCCCAATCCCCTTGCTCCTCTGAAGGTTAAGCAACACTACAGTCAGTTCATTCCTCCTGTCCTTGCCTTTCCAGCTCTCCATTTAAGGATCTCCAGCTGAAGTCACCCAGAATCCATCCTCCTCCTTGCTGCATTGTGTGGCCATAGAAATAATAAATTTTAAGGTTAAAATCTACTTTTTAATTCTGCTTTTCATACATGCCGTGGCTTTGATCACCCATCACCACATTCTGCAGAAATGTTCAGAGAAGCTCCAGTAAGTTTCTGTGACTGATTTACTGATTTAGGAGGACCAGGAAGCTGGTAACGATCATGGTAATTGTCTAGTCCTGTTTTGCAGTGGGTGGGGTGTAGCGAGGATATTATTAGTAATGTTGATTTGGTCTCTGTACCTTTGCTTTGAAAAAGGGGAAAGGCTTCAGGATTTGTGCTCCTGATCACTCATTACATGTTGCTTCCCCCTTTCAAGTCTTTCCATCACTGGAGTTGCACGTGTGTTACCAGTGAGTGGGAAGAATGGTGATGCACACCAAATTCAAATAAGCTTAATTTTGAGGCTCATGGGTGAAAGAGACCACTTGAACATGGAACTACTAGGGAATAAGGAGACAAAGTTGTACAGGCATGAAAATAAAATTAGTGCAGTAAGGTTCAAAAAAGGGGGAAGTTATAGTAAGATTATATTATTCTACTAGTTTTTTTGTTAGTAATGGCTAAATTTTAGTAATTTATAGTTAGAACCCTGTTTCTATCAAGCACAGATCTGCTCTTCATTTGCCTCTTGTTGGATTTAACAGTTTTTTCAATTTAAGCTATAAACAATCTCTAATTGTAAAGTATTTGTTGTCATGGAACAAGGAGTACAGTACTGTCAATTATCAAAGCCATTTTTCAATTTATCTCACAGGCTGAAATCTTTGCAGAACTGGGAGAAGTGTTGAAAGGAACCAAACCCGCTGTGTGTGACAGGACCACAGTTTTCAAATCATTGGGTGAGAACAAACAAGCCATTATTAAGGCAGCTGATGACAGGACAAAGCTTGTCATTCACTGCTGCTCTGTGTTGTCGTGAAAGGTTCAATACAATAGTAATTGAGTCAAAAAGAAACCCAGCTTTTAGACATATTTTATTCAGTTGTAGGATTGGTTTAATTCTTACACTTGTTGTTAAAGAATAAATAACTCACCGAATTGCATCACATTCTGCTGGTCAATCCACCTCTGAAAGTCTGTTTTAACTTTATCTCTTGTGGGTCAAATGCTGAAATTTTGCTTCACACATTTACATTGAACCAGACAGTGCAGTAAAACTCCAGTCTTGCTTTGTCCCATAAATTGCCGTATAACACCTGTTTTATTTCCACTCTGACTGCTTTTTTGCAGTACCATTTCACAGCACTATTTGCCTTCCAATTTATGAATTTTTTGTGTCAGTGAGTTTCAGCAAGTCGTTGAAATGCTGCAGCATACAAACACAGGAATTAGAAGCAGGTTTGGGTCAATCATCCCCTCATGCCTGCTTTGCCATTTAATAGGGTCAGAGCTGATCTGATTATGGCCTGAATTCCACATTCCTGCATGTCTCGAATACCTTTTAACTTCCTTCTCAGTGAAGAATCTGTCATTGCAACTTAGCATCACCACTAAGTCTGACTGTCCTCACCCAGCCTTTCTCACATTTCTAGCAGGAGTTGCTGGCAATTGGTGATGATGTTGCTGGCCTATTTTAAACCTGTGTTACCAGTGGAGTCAGCACAGCCTGTGGGAGTGAACACAAGACTTTGCTGCTATGTGTCAGTAAGTGGGAAAGGGCAAAATGGCTGCAAAATCCTTTTTTAAATTACAGAAAGATCCAGCATGTCTGCCGTACTTTTGGTATGACCTTAATGAGCACAGGAATGGATACTCCATTGTACAAAATCTTCATTAAACCAGTTACTCTTGTTGTTTAAATGAAGCTTTGACTGCTAAAGCTGTTTTTTTGTGTAATTTCTTCCAGGCATGGCCATTGAAGACACAGTCACCGCCAAACTGGTTTATGATTGTTGGGAAGTTAAAAATAAACAGAAATCCTAACACTTTACAAAATACAATTTTCGTTCTACAAAATATTGTTTCACTAAATTGGATGATGTTGAATCAGAATAATGGGACTGTTCAAACAAATTAAAGATGTATTTAATTCAGCCTGTGAAAACACAAACCTAGTATTAACAAGTTTAAAAAAAATCTCTCAACTTGTACAAATACATCAGTTGTCGAATTTCAATCCAACTGTTACCAATGTTTGTTACATGATTGATTTCATAATGTTATGAAATGATACAAAATGCCCATTGTGTTTGTGCCACAACACTGAAAGAGTTATCTCACTTAGTCCCTCAGCCCCTCTCTTTCCCCAAAGTCCTGCACACGTCTGCTTTAAAAAGTAATCTCTAATTACAATTGTGTTTTACAGAAAAACCTTGTATTAAATTGTTGAAAAGCAAAGGAGTGGTGGTTGCAAAAAAAATTAGTCAAATTGATATACTGTGTCCTTACAAAGTATGGAGGCTGAATTATTAATGAAATTACCAGTTTACTGTACATAACTAGAAATAAAAAGCCTTGTCACTTTTTTTACTAGTATTGTCCATTTTTGTGGGAAATGAAGATTTATTTTCACATGATCTTTGCACACAATTGAATGATGATCCATAAACAGAATCTGACAGCACTTGGAAGAGGCTGTGAAGAGGTGGGATGGCAGTTTAGTACAATGGGGAACGTGGGTTTGTAGATGGGAGCTTGGTTATGGTTAAAATTGGGAAGATATATATTCAGCTTTTCACACGTCCCTCTCAATGTAGTTGTGGGATTAATTTGGGAACATTTTCCATAATTGGAAGCTAGGTTGTCCTCTGAAGGACAGTTTTGCAATGTAACATCTGTGGAAGTTGTCTCAAGCTTGAAGAGATGTTTCTAACTCTTGAGATTCCACTGAACTGTGGATTAGCTAGGTTTCTATTTTTTGCTGCTTCATTTATTACTGGCCTTAATGAGACTGTTTGGTTCATCCACTTTGACTGCGTCCATTTAGCTAATTCAATCTTCCTTTATTTAGGCACAAATGCTACACAATGCAGAAAACCATTTATTATAATGGAGGATTGGAGAGAGGTGTGAAGGCAGGTTGGTATACAATCGGCTGTGTGAAAGTCAGCTCAGTTTATACATCCTGTATCTCACATAAGAATCCCCTCTCCTTTCCTTAGAGTGGCTGAGGCCATAAGGGCACTTATCACACAGATCAGAATTGGTTAATGCCCAATATATTATAGTTAGAAACCAGGTCAAACTCTCCATCTTTGTGACAGAATAACTGAATGACATTCCGCAAATAGTTAAGGCAAACCAGGGCAGGACTTACACAGTTAATGGTAGGGCCCTGGGGAGCGTTGCCAAACAAAGAGACCTAGGGGTGCAAGGATATAGTTTTTTTTCGTAAAAGTGGAGTCGCAGGTAAATGGGATAGTAAAGAAGGCAGCTGGGACGCTTGCCTTCATTGATCAGAACACTGAGTACAGGAGTTGGGATGTCATGTTGCGGATGTACAGGACACAGGTGAGGCCACTTTTAGAATACTGCGTACAATTCCGGTCGCCCTTCTATAGGAAGGATGTTGTTAAACTAGAGCAGGTGCAGAAAAGATATATAAGGATGTTGCCAGAACTGGAGTGTTTGATTTTAGGGAGAGGCTGAATAGGCTGAGACAACAAGGTGCAGAGCTGGATGAACACAGCAGGCCAAGCAGCATCATAGGAGCAGAAAGGCTGCATATGTTGCTGCTTGGCCTGCTGTGTTCATCCAGCTCTGCACCTTGTTGTCTCGGATTCTGCAGCATCTGCAGTTCCTACTATCTCTGGCTGAATAGGCTAGGACTTTTTCTTTGGAGCATCAGAGGACAAAGGTTGACTTTATAGAGGTTTATAAAATCATGAGGAGCATGGATATGGTGAGTAGTCAAGGTCCTTTTCCTGGGGTGGGGGAGTCCAAAACTAGAAGGCATAGGTTTAAGATGAGAGGGGAAAGACTTAAAAGGGACCTAAGGGGCAGCTTTTTCACGCAAAGAGTGAAAAAGCTACCAGAGGAAGTGATGGAGGCTGGTACAATTACAACATTTACAAGGCATCTGGATGGGTATATGAATAGGAAGTGTTTAGAGGGATATGGGCCAAATCCTGGCAAATGGGACTAGGTAAGACTGGGACATCTGGTGAGCGTGGATCAGTTGGACCAAAGGGTCTGTTTCTATGCTGTATGGCTCTATGACTTTATAAACAAAATAAAATGTATCCAAAAAAGGGGTTAGATTACATAGAGTCTACAGATACTCAGAACTGGCCATTCCACCCAGCTGGTCTTAGCTGGTATGCATGGACCACACAAGCCTCCTTCCGTTCCACTTATTTCACCCTATCTTCTATACCTTTCTCTCTCATTTACCCAGGTTCCCCTTAAATGCATCTATCCTATTCACCTCAACACTCCATGTTGGAGCAAGTGCCAAATTCTCACCAGTCTCTGATTAAAAGTAGTTTATCCTGATTTCTAATGGGATTCATTGATAATTATCATATTTATTTATTGTAGAGGACTCTGTAACACACTCCACTTCAAATTACTATTCCACAAGTTCTCACTTTGAAATGAGTAATGTGAAACAGTTCACTTTTATAGAGTAATGTTACATATCCAAGTGACTGAAGAGCATTTTAAAGGACAGATAAGTTCCAACAACAGTTAAAGATCTATATTCCAGAACATAATCATGTGCCAGAGACCACAACTCTTTTTTTATAACACACAAATCTCCACTCCCTTTTGCTAAACCTAAACATGCAATGTGGAAATTTGAGTACTTTTAATGATCCACTAACTTCTATTTAACTTCCCCCAATAAAATGGGTAATGGATGCTTCAATATAGTTCCTGTTTCATATTACACTGGCCATTTCTGCCACCAGGGAACGATGATGGTCCTGGATTAAACACTGGAGATTGCTCGGACTCCAACTCTTCTCAATGGTGTGCAAACTTGCTTACCTATTTCATGTTAAAAGAAAGTCACATATTAATAGTGAACAGCAAACAATACTTAAAACAAAAATGTAGATGATTGAAGGGATTAACTTCATAGTAAGGGACTGTGTCTTTCAGATTTTTCTTGTTAGAAAAAGAATTTGCATTTATTTTAGCAACAGTTTAACATTGGTGGCATGGTGGCACAGTGGTCAGCACTGCTCCCTTCTAGTGTGAGGGACCTGGGTTCGAGTCCACCTTTGGGCGCCTGTCTGTGTGGAGTTTGCACATTCTCCCTGTGTCTGTGTGGGTTTGTTCCAGTTCCTCCCGCAGTCCAAAGATGTGTAGGCTAAGTGGATTGGCCATGCTAAATTGCCTATAGTGTTCAGGGATGTGTACATAGGTTACAGAGAAAGGGTAATGGGTCTGGGTGGGGTGCTCTGAGAGTCAGAGTGGACTTGTCAAGCCGAAGAGCCTGTTTCCACACTGTAGGGATTCTGTGATCTATGTCTGTAAGGTATTATTTTGTGTGTGTGTCAATGTCCCATATAACATCATCACAGTCCAAGGATATGTCCTTTACCACTGGCAGGACAGACCCACCTGAGGTGCTGGAATGGCATTTTTTGGTCAATAGAGAGTTGCCCTGGAGGTCCCTAGGACATAGACTCTGGACCGTCTGAAGTCTCATGGTATTAAGTCAAACATGGGTAAGAAACCACCTGCTGATTACCCAACTACAGCACTCTCTTAGCTTATATATCAGTTCTCCTCTGTGTTGAACACACCACTTGGAAAAAGCACTGAGTATACCAAGGGCACAGAATGTACACTGTATTGGGGAGAAGTTTCAATGTCCATCACTAAGAGTGGCTCAGTAGTACCTCTACTGACTAAGCTAGCTAACTCCTAATGGTCATAGTGGTGGTATATTGAGATTGAAAAATCCACTGGACCTTATTCTCCCAAACTATTGCAGGTACGTCTGTCCATGACATTATTGGTAGGTGTGACCACTGCACAGTTCTTATAGAAACAACAAGTTCGAACCGACAATAGAATGCATCATGTTGAGTGGCACTACTAATGTGCTGAATGGGATAGATGTCAAACTAAAATTCATCCTCACCTTTATTTTAAATGGCCTACCCTTATCTGTGATCATTATTCTTGGTGCAGGGGCTACTCAGTTCTAGACTTCATTACAGCCTTGGTCCAGACAGTCAAAAGTACTGAACTCAAGAGGTGAGAACGATTTTGACTGCCCTTGACATCAAGGCAGCAGTTTAGCATCAAGGAACCCTATCAAAACTGAAGTCAATGAGAATCGGGGGGAAATTCTCCACTGCTTCGAGTCTTACTTAGCACAAAGGAAGGTGATTGTGGTCGTTGGAGGTCAATAATCTCAGTCTCAGGACATCATGGCAGATGTTTCTTAGGGTAGTGTCCTAGGCCCATATCTTCAGCTGCTTCATACAGCAGCTTCCTCCATCGTAAAGTTAGTAATGGGAATGTTCTGTGATGATTTCACAATGTTTAGCATCTTCTGCAATACCCAGATACTGAAGTAATAAAAAAGTACTAAAAAATTATAAAGTCCACATACAGTAAGACATGGACAACATTCAGACTTGGACTGATAACTGGCAAGTATTTTTTTTTTATTTATTCACTCGTGGGACATGGCATCATTGGCTGGTTCAGCATTTATTGCCTGTCCCTAATTGCCCTTGAGAAGGTGTGGTGAGCTGCCATCTTGAACCACTGCAGTCCATGTACTATAGGTAGATGCAGAATGCCCTTAGGGAGCGAATTCCAGGATTTAAACCCAGCAACAGTGAAGGAATGGCAATATGGTTCCAAGTCAGAATGGTGAGTGGCTTGGAGGGGAATTTACAGCTGGTGGTGTTCCCATGTATCTGCTGCCCTTGTCCTTCTAGATAGAAGTGGTCATGGGTTGTGGCAAGTGCTGTCTAAGGATTTTTGGTGAATTTCTGTAAAGCATTTTGGAGATAGCATACACTGCAGCTACTGAGGGTTGGTGGTGGAGGGAGTGGATTTGGTGCCAGTTAAGTGGGCTGCCTTGTCCTGGATGGTGTCAAGCTTCTTGAGTGTTGTTGGAGCTGCACTCTTCCAGGCAAATGGGCAGTATTCCATCACATTCTTGACTTGTACCTTGCAGATGATGGAGAGGTTTTGGGGAGTCAGGAGGTGAGTTACTCACTGCAGTATTTCTAACTTCTGACCTGCTGTTATATTCACTCATTCATGCCATAAAGGAGCCAGGCAATGACAATGAGAGCTACAAGAGCAGGTCAGAGGTGAGAATTCTATGGGAAGTAACTCACCCTCTGTCTCTACAATGCCTGTCAATCATCTGCAATGCACAAGTAAGAAGTGTGATGGAATCTCCACTTGCCTGGATGGAAGCAGCTTCAACAACACTTAAGGAGCTCATCACCATCCAGGCCAAACCAGTCCACGTGACTGGCATTCCACACACTATTCAATTCCTTTACAAGACGGTGGTGGTAGAGTAGGCAGCATGTGGGCTTCT